GAACTTTTGAAGAGGGTCTAATAGTTTATTTTGTTTAGTTTAAATGAGGTTCTTTGTGAACATCATTTAAAAGAAGTTATTAATAAGTAACTTCACTCAATTTCTTGACCAATAAATGAAGATAACTTTTTCGTTTTGTACAACATTTAAAATAATTTGATGATAATGAGAAATGACGTAGAATTTGTACTAAAAACTGAGGTCCTACATTAAAATAAGAAAACAAAAACTGAAAAAATGAAACGAAATGGTTGTCGTAGGATCTAGGTTATAATACGGGTTATAAACATTTTTATTAAGATTGCAGTGAGCTTGCTTCCTTACACTCATCTTTCTATAAATTAGATTAATTTAAAATATAATCACTTATATAAATAAAATAAAAAGTTTGACGAGATAGGAATTCAATTGACGTTTTGCATGCATGTGATGATGATTGACAAATATTGCCATATATAATAATATAAATTTGTAAGAAGTAACTTTAAATTTGCTCTTTGTAGAGGTTTTCGAGAAAGAGGTAAGGGAAAGGGAGCCAGATAGAGGATATGTTTAACCTCATTCCTACCGTCATCAAGAAGCTATGGGAAAAGTGGAACCTCAGGTTCTTCATCCTCTTCAGCCTCTCGTTGCAGACCATTTTAATTCTTTGTGCACCCTTCAGAAAGCGAACGCCCAACATATGGATAATCTTCATCGTCTGGACATCATACTTGCTGGCTGACTGGGCCGCTAACTTTGCAATTGGATTAATCTCAAACCGCCAAGGCAACAATCCTGGCTCCGACTATGCTCGTGATCTTCTGGCATTTTGGGCTCCCTTTCTTTTGCTACACCTTGGCGGTCCAGACACCATTACTGCGTTTGCCCTTGAAGACAACACCCTCTGGAAAAGGCACTTACTTGGCCTCATATTCCAGGTCATAGCTACGCTTTATGTTCTCAGTGAATCATTCCCCAAAAACAAGCTATGGCTCCCAACATGCCTTCTGTTTCTTGCTGGAATCATCAAGTATGCCGAACGAACACGAGGTTTGTATGGTGCCAGCTTGGACAATTTCAAGGAAGCCATGATTAAAACACCTGACCCTGGACCGAATTATGCGAAGCTCATGGAAGAATACTCCTCAAAAAAAGAGGCTGAACTTCCAACTCACATTGAACTCACAGCAGAACGCAGCAAAGAATTTAGGACCAAGACTTACATGATTGAAGAAAACGAGCTGCAGAGTGATATTGCAGTTGTGAGACATGCTTATCACTTCTTTCAAATCTTCAAGGGTCTAATTGTCGATCTCATTTTCAGCTTTCAAGAACGCCAAGAGAGCCGTGATTTTTTCCATGACAGAAAGCCAGAAGAAGCTTTTAAATTAATAGCGGTCGAGCTCAACTTTTTGTATGAAGCTCTCTTCACCAAGGCTGCCGTGGTGCATTCTAAGCTAGGATACATTTTCCGGGCGATTTCCATCAGTGCAATTTTCGTAGCCCTTGTTTTCTTCTATAAATTGGAGAAAGAGGGTTTACATTCATTTGATGTTGGAGTCACCTATACCTTGCTTTTTGGTGCCATAGGCCTGGATCTAATAGCTGTTTTCATGCTTATATTCTCTGATTGGACTGTTGCTGCTTTAAATAAGTCTCGGCAGAAATGTTTTATAGCCAATAATATTTTTGAAAAGTACCTCAATTTGAAGAGATCATCCTTGTCTACAGAAACAACAAATGGCGGCCAAGAAAACAGTTCAAAAATAACAAAGTGTTTGATGTGGACTAAGAAAATCCTATTTTGGAGGTGGTATGGATCTGTCTCCATGTTCAACTTGATAGACTTTTCCCGCAAGGAACGTGAAAAAGTCTCCCCAACAATTTTTGACCGCTGTGGCAGTTTCTACATCAAATTCCTTGAATATTTTGGCCTCAAGGATCGCCGCGATAAGATCAAATATAGGTCCAGCAAGCCACTCACTGCAGAGTTATGGAAATTCATCTTTGATGAGTTAAGAGGTAAGTCCTTGCTTGCAGATGATCCTGAAACTGCCAAGAAAATAGGTTCAGCCCGAGGCGACTGGGTTCTCGAGGACAGGGTTGTGCAGGATAGTAATTTGGTTGTCCAGGATGGTGATAAGGATAAACATAATAAGGTGATCAGTAAGTTGCTATCTTATGTTGTTGATGTTGAGTATGACCAGAGCATTCTATTGTGGCACATTGCTACTGACTTGTGTTATTATGAGAAGCGCAAAAGCAATGTTGGTGGTGATGCTAGTCACCGTGATGATAGTCACCGTGGATTTAGTAAGACTCTGTCTGATTATATGTTGTATCTCTTAGTGATGCAGCCTACTATGATGTCTTCTGTAGCAGGAATTGGACAAACAAGATTCCGCGACACTTGTGCAGAAGCAAAGAAATTCTTTAGCAGAAGTGAACTGGAATCAGGGGTGGAAGAAAAAGTAGAGGTCTGTAAAGGGCTCCTTGACGTAAATACAGACGTTCAACCTATTGATGTCAAAGGGGACAGGAGCAAGTCCGTATTGTTTGACGCATGTATTCTGGCCAAAGAGTTGGCCAAAATGGAGGAAAATAATTTAAATAAATGGGAACTCATCAGTAAAGTGTGGGTGGAATTGCTCTCATATAGTGCAAGTCATTGTAGAGCAAATAACCATGCCCAATTGCTGGGTAAAGGTGGAGAGCTTGTCACTTTTGTTTGGTTATTGATGGCTCATTTTGGCATCGGGGAGCAGTTCCAAATAAACGAAGGCCATGCAAGAGCAAAACTCATTGTGGAAAAGTAAATGGATGTGTGGAATTAAGAAATGGTGGATTCCAAACAATCTTACCATATAAGTCCTTTTTATCATGCTGGACTGGACATTTGTTTGCATACTTTCTTGCAGTGTACTCCTCTTTTTTTTTTCTTTTTTTTTTTTTCTCTTTTTCTTTTTCTCCCTTTCTTCACTAGTGTATGTGTTGTGTCAGTTTGTAATCTTTAGACTTTATCGACACTCTTTGTGGAATTATTGTTTTTTTTTTCTTCCGTTAAGGCCTCGTTTGGTTCTCGGAAAAGATTTTATGGGAACTAGAGGCTTATGGACTAAATCTTTATCTCTTGGCTTCGTCAAAGTATCACGGGGATTGTTCACCAAAAAATAAAAAGTATCTTGGGGACTGGGTAGTGGTTGCCTTCCAAAATGTTAAAGAGCAAATATTTCCTCGTGTGCTTGGGAACATTAAAAAGTAATGAAAACATTAAGAATTTGTAGAACCCCCAAATTGCATTATCATTCTCCACACATAAACACTTTCTTAGAGAAAGCATATCGTTGTTCTGCAGAAATCAAAGCCACAGTGGCTAGGCTTTGATTTGTGATAGTTTAATCCTAGGCAGACTCCTATCGAACTACAAACACAAGGGTAAAGGAGAAATACTGCATAAAGGACACTGCAACTTTGTAGGACTCTATCATCTATCCAAGTCAATATTTTGTATTTCATTCTACTGATGTATTGATTTGATTATTTATATAGAATATATTTCGTATTGTTTTTGTTATGTTATTTGGTTTTATCCTGATTGTTCTCCAACAAAATATACTTTGTACTTCAATGTGTCTCTTCAATGGCTATCATTGTGACAGACGTAGACCAAACTCAAGCCTCCGCCTGAGGAATTTCAGAACCTAGCTGCTTTGAATGCTTTACTTGGGTTAAAAATTCTTTTAACAACAATGTCAGATATATGAGACCGAAATATCATACGAGGCAATATATGTCAAATAATGAAAATCCAAGAATACAGAAAGTGAACCGTTGAAGATGGAACGATATTTTTTGACAAACTGTACACCCAAAAACACCCACATAGTGCCACTTACTCCGCTTGATGCTGTAGGAAGAAAGAGCACTCGTCTGGCAAAAAGTAACTTTCGGTATTAATTGGGCTCAAGGATCTAGATACTACTTGGGTTTAAGAATGTGATTTGGATATTAATTAAGTTTAATATGAAAATATCAAAAACCCACTACTAATAATTTCCAACCGCATCATCAACATAACAATATCAATATAAAAAACACACCATAACAATATCAATCAATTATAAACTCTAATCCAATTCAAATATCAATCAATTAATTTATAAATATCAATCAATTATAATCCATAAAAAATCACTAAACATTTCTATCAATTTCATTATAATAAAAATTATATTAGATTCACTTCATATTCAGGAAAGCAGCGACAAGAGGTGCTGTTAGCGCCGACGGAGTGGTGGTGGGGGTTGATGGGTTGGGGCTTAAGGTTTGAGAGAGGAGAGTTTGAGCCTAATTTGGGTAGGGTTTTGGGTGGAGTCGAGTAAAAGAGGGGGGATGGCGCATGCCTTCCGTCGAGCAACTTGTGTGCATCTTAGGGTCGCTTGAGGACCTCACATCCATTTTTTCTAGCATCCATAATGTTGCTTGACCCCAATTGTCCTGTTGTGCGTTCGCCCTTGTTTGTATATAAATAAATAAGTAAAATAACACAATCGGTCCGGTTCAAATTGGACTGATATATCGAAGTTTACTTTTTAGGTTTTTTTTTCATTATGGTTAATTTCAATTTAGTACCATGAACTCTTACTGTTAAGGCATCTTAGTCCCTCTACTCTCAATTTTAAAGATTTCATACCCTCATCTTTCCGATTTGTTTCAATTGAGTCCCGGCGTTAACTTCACTGTCAATTTCTCTGTTAATTGCTTGCGTGTCATATGTGGGTCCCATGAGTACGATGCTTTCGATGTCAATGGAGGGGCATTTTCGACCATTTTTTGTATTCCTGCCCAAACTCCTCTGTGAAAAAAAAATAAGACACATGGATGCATTTAATTGGGCTGAAATTTAAAAAAATTAAAAATCAAAATTAACAAAAAATTAATTAATCAATATTGAAAATGCAAAAAGGATATTTTGAGCTAAAAATTGAGCGACTTTGCATATTGAACCCAAATTTCTTCTTCTCGTTTCTTCACTGAAGTTGAGCGACTTTGCATCTGAGAACAAACTCATCATCACCCATCTGAGAACAACCTCTTCCACCTCACTTGCAAGGCGATGGTGAGTTGGGAGGTACGAGAACATGGAGATGACGAACCACATTATGGTACATTAGTAGACTTTTATTTACGGCTTTGACGTTCGAATTTCTGGGTTTTATGTTTATAATTTTGGGATTAGGGTTTCTATGTTCGAATATTTGGGGGATTAGGGTTTATCTGTTCAAATATTTGGGGATAAGGGTTAGTATGTTTGAAAATTTGGGGATAAGGGTCTAGTCTGTTTCAAAATTTAGGGATAAGGATTTAGTCTGTTCGAAAATTTGGGGATATGGGTTTGTCTGTTGGAATAGTTGAGTTTGTTCGAAAAAATGAGGAGTGTCTCAGTGACTTATATATGTATTATTGTGCTTTGTGTTAGTGGATGATATATTAAGGCTTGGTAAATGTGGTTATGGCTCTAAGTAGGAATTTAATAATGAAAATTGAAACTATGTTATGTCTCTATTGGAATATATGTATAAATGTTGTAAAAGTGTTACTTTGGAGTTTTTGCGTGGTCCTACTCCACTATGCAATTGATGACAATTTTTGGCACTTTTTCCTTGGACTATTGATGACAAGTTTTGAGACTTTTTCATGCAGGGGATCCATGCTTATTTTCGATTCGAATGCACCATGGTGGAAGACTGCTGTAGAAGTACTATGTAGGTGGCAATGTTACTATTTTGATTATGTGGACAAGGACAAAATCTCATTGACAGAAATTGAATGCATGGTGGTTTATCTGGGACACGTAAGCATAATTGATTATTGGTATCGTGGTCATGCTAATAGTGTTATGAAACAGATACACTGTGATTCACAAGTTATGGAAATGTGTGATCTAGTTCCTGAGCTGAGGGAGATTAACTTATATCTAAATCATCGGGACATGTAAGAAGATGATGTTTGATATAGCTAGCATGGGTCTAGCATGGATTTTGGTTATGCTTACCAAGTGTTTGACTTGACTGAGAATTTCACAACATCTGGAGTAGTCATTGAAGAGCTTCCAGACTATGACAAAGCACTAGTGATGTATGATGGAAGGCATAAAGTACATTCTAAGTCAATATCTTGTGTGTTCATTGAGTCTTTAGATGATCATGCTGAAAATGAGGTGGAGACAACCACAAGAAAAGAAAGTCGTTCCAATGACAAGGATGGAAAAGGTGAAGTCATGAAAGAAGTTTAGCCACGTGGTTCCAAAGGGAAGGAAAATATGGCATTAAGAAGATCTTTTAGGAATAAGAAAGCATGAATTCAACAACAGCCTACTCATGATACTTCTTCAGAGGATGATGATGAGAGCGACTCTGATTTTGTGGATGATGAGTATGGAATTGATGATAATGAAGATGATCTTTGTTTTCAGGCTGAGGTTGATATAGATGGTGAATGGGCTGGACCAGTCAAGAACCATGTGCAAAGCCTGAATTGGCGAATATGGATGGTTTTGAAGATAATGAAGACACGTTTGCTGTCATTGATTCCGAACAATTGGAGCTTGTTAATTATCGTTAATATATATTCGGAATAAGGTACTGCATACCTTGCGGAAGATTCCAAGTGAAAAACCGCTTGCAATTACTAGCCCACCGTGATGCTTCCACGTCACGAACACGCCAACAAGATTCTACACGTTCTTCGTCTCCAAGGTCGTTGGATTGGCTATGAAAGTTACTCCATTGATTCCACGTACCCAAGACCAAGGCTCTTGGTGAATTGCCTAGAGAAGAGTGTTTAGGGAGATATGAGGTTTCTCTCTTTGTGGGTGTAAAACTCACTACAACTCTTTGATATGCACTCACACTTCTTGTCTCACACCAAGGCAGGATGCAGACCACTTATAGAATTGGATGGGTGTCATTTGAAGAATCCTTACAGAGGGTAATTACTATCAGCTATTAGTTTGGATGTCAATAATATGACCTGGATTATTGCATATGCACAAGTAAATGTAGAAAATAAAGAATCCTGGATATGATTTTGGAGAACCACTTTGGGTTCACTTTCACAAGTCATAAGCAAAAAGGTTTGTTGGAAGCTTTTGAAGCAGTGGCTAACTTCAACACCATGTACAAGGGGAAAATGTTGAAGGATGCCTTATGGGCAGTTGCCAAGGCAACCACAGTTCCTCAATTCAAAAGGGCAATGGAGGTGATGAAAACATTAACACATCGTTGAACACCGGGAATTGACCGAGCACGTTGAGGTCATTTTGAGATTCTTCAACTCCAAAAAAGGCAAGCAAAACCCATGTATAGAATTAAGCAACGACTTCTAGAATAATACTTTTTTGCCCTTTCTTACTCCCATAATCTCTTTTCCAGGCAGTTGGGCAATTTTTCCATTGCCAGTGCATACAGTTGATGCTTCCAATCATACATGGGAAACCTTGAGCTTCTGCTTTTTGTAGAAGCCTTTGGAGGTCCCTAGGCGTAGGTTTGCGGAGGTAATCCCTCGTGTAGAGAGTTTTGATTGCATCACAGAATCTGAACCAAGCTCTCTAGGATAGTGGACTTCCCCATCCTAGCAATCTCATCCACCTAGTTTGCAGATGCACCAAGTGCCAGCATCCGTAAAGAAGCTGTAAGCTTTTGCTCCTGAAGAAGCCCCAAAACCCCAGTAGCATCACACTTCTGAACGAAGTATGCATCATAATTGCAAACATCATGCATGACTTTATTGAACAAATGTGGCTGCATTCTATATCGCCCTCAAAAATCGACAGTAGAGT